TTTTTTTTTTTCCTTTGTGTTTTTTTTTTATTTTTTTTTTTTTTTTTTTTTTTTTTTTTTTTTTTTTTTACCGGGGATCAAACTCAGAACCTTGTGCTTGCAAGGCAGGCACAGCACCACTGAGCTAAACCCCCAGCCTCATACTACGGCATTTTAATAATATTAATACTTAAATTCATGCACATGTGTAGCTTTCATTTATTTATATTGTCTTCAATTTCTTTCATCAGAGTTATATAGTTTTCAGTGAACTGATTTTTTTACCTTCTTGGTTATATGTCTTCCAAAGTATTTCATTCTTTTTGATGCTCTTGTTTTCTTTCTTTTTCTTTTTTCATACTGGGGATAGAACTTGGGACCTTGTGCTTGCGAGGCAGGCAGTGGCAACCACTGAGCTAAATCCTCAGCCCATTTGATGCTCTTGTAAATGGATTGTTTTCTTGATTTATTTATTTTTTGGGGATATTTGATGTTATTTATAGAAATGCAATTGATTTTTGTATGTTGATTTCTGTATCCTGCAACTTTATTAGTTTTAAGAGGTTTTATTTTGGTAGAGTCTTTAAGGTTTTCTATATACTGTATAAAATTATGTCATTGTATTAACAGACGATTTTACTTTTACTTTTCAGATTGGGTGCCATTTGTTTCTCTTACCTAATTGACACTTTCAGTTCTTTAAAAACATTTCATATGACCATGAAAAATGTAGGCTTACAGTATTTTGAGTGACAAAATAATCAATCATAGAGCTAGAATTTGTTGGTATGTGTATGTCTTCCATTGCTTATTAAAGACTGCCTCTGAGTAGAGAATAGTGAACAAGTGGTCCAGTGTAATTTTCTTTTCTCTTGCTTTTTGCATATGTCCAATTCAGTCTGTCAGTGGTAAAGTAATTGAGTCTTCATCCACCACTAAGTTTTTGTTGTCTATTCCTTTAGTCCACCAGGGCAACAGATGTCAAATTTTTAGAAAAATTAAACTGCAAAGCTGGCCTATTTTTTTTTATTATTCATTAAGAATAATGAAGGCTGCTTTGGAGAGAAGCAAGGCCCCTGTCACTAGAAGTGAAAGAGAAGTAGGGTAGTAATGATGATTAAAATTTACTGAGCATTTATTCTGTATTATTTTATGCTGGTATCCAACCCATGTGATGGGAACTACTGTTATTTTGTATTAAGATATGAAACTGAAGCCTAGAGAGGCATCATACCTTGGATAAGATGAAACACCAAACAGATAAACAAAGTAGTAAGTGGCAGGGATGGGATTCAAAGCTAATAAGGTCTGACTTGAGAGCCTGCGTGGGAACCATCGCTCCACACTGGCCCTTCCTCAAGTGGTGTCTGCTGGGGTGGGGTTGCTGTGTTGTTGGGGGTGTTACATTGGAGGGCCTCCAAAGGCTTTCTAGCTCTCAGTAGACTAAGACTTGGTTGGTGCTACATGTCAGGCATTCCCTGGTCCTTACATCTGCCATCCCTCAACTCTTAGGGCCTTTATCTCTGCCTATTAGTTTGACCTAACCAAGCCTGATGATTACTTGAGGTATAGACCAGCAAACTTCAGTTTCTGAAACACGTTAATCTCTTAGGGGAGTAGGGAAAATGCATTTTTAAAAATTCAGGGTCCTAGGGTAGGGCAGGAGATAGCACAGCAGTTCCTTCAGCAGCCTTCACAAGTTCCGAAGCACAGCATCAGGCCACCCTTGTTCTAGCTGGCACCTGTCTTCTGGTCTTTGGGTAATAGAACTTTGCTTTGTTTCCAAGATTCTGTTCTGGTTCTTTTAAATGGATTTGTGCCTGAGCCTTTTCCTGTGCTTCTTTTGATAGCATGCTTTGTTCTTCAGTTTCTAGAACTAGCCCAACATCATACGTGCCAGACTTCCTTCTGAGATCAGGTTCTGCTGCCTGTTGGCAGGTTCACCCACACTGTCAGATGCGTTTCCCAGGACCTTCTAGTTCTGCTTTGTTTTGCTGCTCTCTCCGACTAATGAGACCTCTGCCACTCTTTATTTTGCTGTCTTAGCTGCCCTTCTACCTGTGATTCACACTTGGGCTAAGGAGCAGAGCATCAAAAGCCACCATTTGTCCTGGCTTCTTTCCTTCTGAATTCTCTTGACTACTTTCCACACTGCTCTGGGGGATCCTGTATTTCTTTCCTGTTTGGGACTTCTTATCACTTCCTTTGTAATTAGGACATAGAGAGAGTGTTGAATGCAGAGAGTTATTACTCATCTTTGCTGCCTGCTTTTCTTGCTATGTGAGTGTGCTCCTGCTGCACGTGCTGTGTGCCCTGGGACACTAAGCACCATCTCAGGTGACACGGTGGCACATAGGTTATAATTAGAAAGCGTGGCACTGCTCTCTAGTGATGAGTGACGGTGAACAGCATTTGTTCATTCACGCACCCTCTCTACAAGTGATTATTAAGTGTCTACTGTGCACTTTCCAGAAGCACAGTGCTGAGCCCAGGGAACACAGATGAACAAACACGATTTTGTCTCTTGTTTTTACCCTGGGAGTCAGGAGTGGAGCAAATAAATTCACAGTGAGGTAGTTCTTACACTACAGCAGTGTGCTGAGTGTCCTGGAACACGTAGGAGAGGCAGCTGCACCAGCAGTGGTGAGGAGTTTCTGAGACACAGCTCAGCGGTGACACAGAAGGATCTTGAAGATGTGATTTTACTTTGACAGTGAGTTGCTTAACGAGATCGAATGCTTCACACTCAAGTTCTTCATGTTTGTTTTTCCTTTTGTAACTTAATGTCTCTGCTTTCCTTGTATCCTTTTGGCCTTAGTGATCTTTTCCTGTTTTTCTTTGTATGATAATTTGTGTCCAAGAAGAGAAAGAGTTTTTGCTCTTCAGAATTTTTTGTCCCTAGAGGTTTTGCTTTAAAGATTCAAAAGAAGGTGTAAAAAATCAAACTATCTAGGTTAAAGATTTTGTTGGATCCAAAGTTAGGATTCAGTGGGGCTGGAGGTGGAGGAGCTCAGTGATAGAACACTGCTTAGGATATGTGAGACAGTGGGTTCAGTTCTCAGTACCGCACACATACTCACAGAGAATTGTGACTCTAAGATTATTGTATACTCAGAAGTTTTAGTAGGCAACCATTATTCAAATCAGTATGAAGATTTCTCAAAGAACTGAAATTAGAAAGTCTGTAGGACTGTTAGATATTTCCCCCAAGAGAGCTTAAGATGTCATACTACAGTGATAAATGAATACAAGTGTTTGAGCAGCACAGTTTGTAATTTCTAAATCCTGGAAGCGGCCTATATACCCATGAATAGACAACTGGATAAAGAAAGTGTGGTATCTATATGTAATGGAGTACTACTCGGCTATAAAGAATGACAAGTTTGAGACGTGTAGGAAAATGGATGGACCTGGAAAATATAACATGAGTGAAATGAGCCAGACACACCTGCTTAAATACCATTTGGTATCTCTCATTTGAGTGAGGCAAAGTACAAACACAGAGAATCCTGGAGAATGGATAGAGGGGCCGAGGAGATGGATCTCTTGCAATAGGAAAGGGATCCAAGGAAACAAAGGCGAGGACTGGGGAGGAGAGGAAGGGACAATAAGTAGAATAAAGAAAAGCCACATCCAGGAACTTAATAACCTCTATGAATGTAAACATTATATACCGTAATATGAAATAAGATTAATAATATTAACAGGAATGGAAATTGGGATGGGGATCTAGGGGAGGAGAGGGGAAGGGCATTTAAAAGAAGGAAACAAGCTGTATTGTGTGCATGTACCCACTCCCCAAGATGATGGTAAACTGAATATATCGCAAACATGTACTAATACAGTTTTTAAAAAGTTAAAAAAAGTTTTAGTAGGAAACAAGGATATATTTACATATGAATGCAAAATTATTGCATGTCAGAATATGTAGATCAGATTCCTAGAAATGGAGTTAGACCAGCACAAGGCAAAATCAGTAAAAAGCCTTAGCTCTCAAATGTGGCTGTTATCTAAAATATTATCTCATAGGTGAAAAATTTCAAATATTCTTTTGCATTGTTGTCAATGTTCTCAAATTTAAAGGTAATATAAACTGAAAAATATGGAGGCTTTCTCTGTACTGTCATCCACAGTGAAATGGGTCTCTAGAGTTTGAAAAACAAAAGGGCTCTTCATAGCAGATGGGGGCTCTACCAAGGAGAATGTATACAACACGATCAAAGGAGGATTTGGAATATGCCGGTGACTTCTTCCTGGCATTAACTAGCATGAGTGTTTCTGGCATGTTAGATATTTTACCATTTCATGTCAAGCACGACTACAATGAAATAAGCTGTTTGAGTAATAAACAAAGAGTGAAGGCATCCCTGGTCCTTAACAGCAGTTTACACACAGCAGGTAATCAAAACATGCTGGTTAATGTGAAATAGGAAGAAAAGGGCTAAAGGTGTAGGGAAAGTGGGAAGGGTAGGAGAAAGGTAATAAGGGAAAAGAAAAAAAAAATAGGAGAAAATGAAAAAATGGAAATAAAGTGTTTGTAAATGGGGAGGGGAGGAGAGGGTGAAGGGAGGGCAGGGACAAGGGGAAAAAAATGAGAACCAAGACCTGTCATGTAAAGGTACAAGATCCCAGTGGTGAATGTAACTATACTCTATACCTAAAATGTACCAATAAACTCAATGAGGAAAACAAAAATAAAGGTAATGTAGATTTTACATGTTCGGGGGGGCAGAATCCCACATTTTAATCCAGTTGTTTATTTGTTTCACTTCAAGTAGATGTTTTGTTTTTGTTTTTTGAGACAGGGTCTCACTATGTAATTGAGACTGGCCTGGAACTCACTATGTAGCCCAGACTGGTCTTGAACTCACAGTGATCATCCTGCCTCAGCCTCCCAAGTGCTGGAATTACAGGCGTGCACCACCATGCCCGGCTATCAAGTAGATTTTTAAAATTGTTTTTCTAGACAGTAAGTCTTCCTAAAACATACTCTGATATAGTCAGAGTACTCTGAAGGATCTTTTTTCTGTAGCATGCTGGGTTTGTTTGTTGTTTTTATATCATTATTATTATTATTATTTTTGTACCTGGGATCGAACTCTGATCCTTGCACTTGTGAGGCAGGCAGCAGAACCACTGAGCTAAATCCCCGGCCCATCATTACTTTTAATAGTGTCACTGCCTGCTTTCGGTCAGGTCAATGAGTCCTGGGAGGCAGGGTTATTGTGTGTGTGCGTGTGTGTTGTGAGCTCAGCACACCCTGTGACAGTATCTGCTGGCTGGGTGCAGTGGTATGCACTTGTAATCCCAGCTACTTGGTAGGCTAAAGCTGGAGGGATGCAAGTCCAAGGCCAGACTGAACAACCTGTCTCTAAAAGGAAGAAAAAAGAAACTAAAAAGTCTGTTCTTCATTCTTCTAGGGATATTGTAAAAGAGTAGTTTCAGATTATTTTCAAGTCTCATTTTAGGAGGTTATGAAGGTGAAGGAAGATAATGTTGGTTGAATAGGAAGCTTTTTATAATAATCACATGAGGAAAAAGCACCTAGGATGTTTTAATTTAATATTTCCCTTTCTTTGCAACAGGTTACTGGTTACTTGGATGATTGTACCTGTGATGTTGAAACCATTGATAGATTTAATAACTACAAACTTTTCCCAAGACTGCAAAAACTTCTTGAAAGTGACTACTTCAGATATTATAAGGTATTTTAAATTTTATATTTTGTATATGAATTTTTTCAAATAGATAATTACATTTTCTTGAGAATTACTAAGCTTCATGAGCTGGGTATTTAGCTCAGTGTCACTGCATCTGCCTTGCAAGCTCAAGGTACTGAGTTCAATCTCTTGTACCAAAAAAAAATTAGCTTTGAAATTGTGGTTATTATTTATAATTGATAGAGGCTTTATTAGAAAAAATTCACTTCATGAGAATGAACCACTTCTTTCTGAAACCACATATTGGGTACATTTAATTTCAGTAACAGTACTGGACTCTACAGTTAGAATCTAGCTGGTTAAATTGAAATTAGAACATAAACTGTTATAATAAAAATAATGAGTTCATAATGTTCTCATCTGATTAGCTCAAATTAAATGAAATAAATTTTAAAATTTTAGAAAAACCATGATTTATTGACATTATTTTGATGAGTCACTTGTAGTATTTTATCTTTAGATAACTACTGGAAAAGTTTAGAAAACCTGACTATTGGAATATTGATTTGTATTCTGAGTTCACATTTCCTATCTGGACTCTATCTGTTAGCTGTTGCTTGCCTTAAAAAATGCAAACTGAGCAGTGGGTTCCTAGTTACCTAGTTCAGGGTCTGTTTAGAGGCAGTCTTTATCTTTCTAGCAAAATCTACCAATACCAGCTACACAGTTAAACAGTGCAATCAGTGAAACTTGACCACAGGAAGAGATAGCATAGTTGCAGCGCATAACCAGGTTAGAGCATCATAATTCAACAACTATCAGTTGTAATCTTGGGATTCTTATTTTCATGACATTTAGCCAGGCATGAGGAAGCATGTTCCATAATCCCAGCACTCAGGAGGCCGAGTTAGGATTGGTAGTTCAAGGCCATCCTGAGCTAGATAGTGAGTTCAGGGCCAACCTGTCTCAAAAAACCAAAACCTTAAAACCCTGTCTCAAAAAACAAGTATCAACATCCATGTAAGAGTTAATTATTTTTATAACCTTTTTTGTATTTTTTATAGGTCAACCTGAAGAGGCCATGTCCTTTCTGGAATGATATCAGCCAGTGTGGAATAAGGGACTGTGCTGTCAAACCTTGTCATTCTGTAAGAACTGAATACATTTAAGAGCTATTGTATTTTTTTTTCACCCATATCAACTTTTTTTTTTTTGGTGATATGGGGGGTGTTGAACCCAGGGCCTTTGCACTGAGCTATATCCCCAGCCTTGTTGTAAATTAATTATATGTGGAATTCCTTCTTTTTAATTAAAAAATTCTTCCCACTTTTTTGCTAGTGCATATTGGTTATACAGATTAATGGGTTTTATTTTGACAGATTTGTAGATGGATATAACATACATTAATCATTTCCTCCCCAATCACCTTTTCCCCCTTCCCCCCGGTTTCACATTTTTTGGAGGTTTCAATGTGTGTAATGTATTCTGATCATATTGAAACCCCCATTACCTTTTCTTGTACCCCTCTTCTCTCCCTAATCTTCCCTGCTTCTTGTCTAATAATGGTCTCCCTTCTACTTTCTTTTTTACTTGTCTTACTTAGATTCTACATATTATAGAGAACACGTAGTATTTGCCTTTCTGAGCCAGGCTTACTTCACTCAATAAGATAATCACCAAATCCATCCATTTTTCTGCACATGACAGAGTTGTTTTGTTTTTTTATGGCTGAATACTGCACATACACACACACAGACACACCATATTTTCTTTGTTCATCTTTTTTTGTTTTTTGTGTTTTTTTTGTACTGGGGATCGAACTCAGGTCCTTGAGCTTGCGAGGCAGACAGCAGAACCACTGAGCTAAATCCCTGACCTCTTTGTTCATCTGTTGATGGATGCCCAGACTGGTTCCGTATTTTGGCCATGGTATATTGTGCTGCAGTAAATCTGGGTACGAGGCATCCCTATGGTACACTGATGTTAATTCCTTTGTATGTATACCAGGGACTGGTGTGGCTGGATCAAATGGCTGTTTTATTTTTAGTTTTTTGGAGAACTTCCATATTGATTTCTATAGTGGCTGTCCTAATTTACATTCTCAACCAAGAGTGTTCCTTTTTCCTTATATCTTTGTCAGTATTTGTTTATTTATTTTTGTATTCTTGATGATAACCATTCTGACTGGGAGAACACAGAATTTCCCTTATTTTTTGAGACAAGGTCTTGCAAAGTTGTCCAGTTTGGGTTCAAACTGGTGATCCTCTTGCCTCAGCCTCCTCAGTGCTGGGACAACAGATGTGTTCACCATGGCTGGTTCATCACAACTTGTGTTTGATTGTTTGTTTATTTGTTTGTTTTTTCCAGTACTATGAATCGAACTCAGACCTTGTGCAGTTTTTTCTCATTAAAGGTACCTAGGGCTAGGGATGGCCCTCAGTAGTAGTAGAGTGCTTGCCCAGCATGCATGAAGCTCGCATATAATTCCCAGCAGTAAAAACAAAGTATACAATTCAGTGGCATTAAGTGCATTCATATAATTACTATGACCCATCTATCTCCAAAATGTTTTCATTCTTTCAAATTGAAACTATGCCATTTAGACACTAATTCCCCAATTCCCCCTCCTACTAATCCTTGGCAAACATCATTCTTTTTGTTTGTTTTTTTTGGTTTTTTTTGGACTGGGTGTCAAACTCGGGACTTTGCACTTATGAAGCAGGTGACAGAACCACTGAGCTAAATCCCTGGCGAAGCACCATTCTTTTTGCATATATTTGCTTGTACTGGCACCTCCTGTAATCAGAACCATACAGTATTTGTCCTTTTGCATCTGGTTTTATTTCTTGATGCATATAGTGGTACGAATCAGAATCTTACTCTATTTTAGTAAATAGGATTAATGCTAAATTATAATACCGCACTCTTTAAGTCTCTACTAAATTTTATTTTCCATATATCTGTTGGGGGACTTTCATGTTATTTCTACTTTTTGGCTCTTGTGGATCATGCATCTGTGAACAGGGGTTTATCTGTTCACATTCCTATTTTCAATTTGTTGAGGGGGTTCAACCTGGGTTTTTGAGTATGTTGAGCACATGCTTTCCCACTGAGCTATATATATCCTGTGCCTCTCACAGTCTTTATGGTGTACAACTAGAAGTGGGTCTCTTGCTGGATCATATGGTAATTCTGTGTTTAAATTTTTTTTTTTTTTTTTTTTTTTTTTTTTTTCTGGGGTTT